CCCGTTGGAGAAAGAAAAGGCATGCCCCTCATGGGACGGCTTGGTGTGTGCTTTGCTTCCAAAATGCCGGGGTGCAAAGCAACTGGTTTGCCGGGCACCTGGTTTACCAGTCATAAAGGTCGGGATGCCGCCTCCAAAACCAAAGACCGTTCTCCAAACCTCCAGACTGCTCATGTAATTTGAACTCGTAATGCGATTCAAACAAAAACCGTAAAGTTCAATAAAGACAAGCTCGTTCCGACATCTCACTGAGCTATCTGGGAGGAGATGACCCTGACTGTTTCTGGTTTATGTGAGAATGGTGCGGAATGCTGGCTCCTGTGCATTGATTGGTCGATCCAAGCACGTTCGGTATGCTGTCATGGTTAAAAACTCTCTGACGAAAGTTCAAGAGACTGAGCCACTTGATACAGATTTGAAAACTGTTTATGGCTTGTGGGATCATGGTAGCGACCATTCGCTGGGGCGAGTTCGCCCAGCCAACCTGGACAAAGGCAGCTTCCGAACTCGAGTCGGGAGCTGAGATCAGCTTCAGCTCGGCCAACACAAACGCGAATGGAGAAAAAATGAGACGCTTCAGGTCCCGCATGAATCCCAAGGTGGGGCAGCACCCCCCTACTTGAAGCAACCAGGAGGGCTTTTTGGGACCAAGGTCTGGCAACCAAAATGGCCCTGCGCTGTCAACATGGACCTGCCCCTCACTGGTTTCATGAAGATAGGTTCTTTAGGTACTTATTTGGGTGTGGGTCAAAGTTGAACCACCAGGGGAGTGCAAGTTCTAGTCCTTGTTCTAAATTAACAGGGTTCCATTTGGTGCCATTTTGGATACCTATTCTTGACCCACACTTTCCTGAGTGGATTGGCCAAACGGAGTCCAAGGGCTTTGTTTGCCACCAATCATATCTTCCCAAAACCTCGGGCGCCGGCTGGCTGCAGCAGTACGAAGCAAAGACCTGAGCGTGCGCCAAAAAGTCCCGCATGAGGTCGGCATGGGCTCGGCAAGGCAACTGCAAAAAAGTGGTGAGGGTGTATCTATGGGGGCTTGACCAGAATTTGAACCCCCAAACCATCCGCAAAGCGTAAGGCACTTCCCCGTCACTGGTTGGAACCTTCCTGTCGAGTTTACTGGCCCTCGGCTTCTAACTTGTTGGGCCTTTGGATTTCCATTCAAAGACCAAACCATGTCCAAACTGATGCCCGCCAAACAGTGCTAACTCGTGCGAGAAATGGAAACCCAGCCACTGACTTAACGAAAACCAACTGAGGAACCGGACGGCCAAGAAACCTGATATTAAAAGTTCAAGTTGTCAACTGGGCTGCCCTCAGATCCCCCGCTAAAAGTTCAACTTTTAGCGGGTTAAACGGAAACTGCCACAAATCACAGGATTCTGTCTGACATCATCCTCAGGGACGTCGTTGCCGATAAGCACCGACGAGTCGTGCGATCTTTGGACATGCCACAACCAAAATGGTCTTCCCAGCATGTGTGAGCCTTGGAACATGCCACCTGGTGTCAAAGACGAACGTCCGCAACGTGCCCGTACTGGACATGACACAAGTAGTGTCCTCCTCGGTGTTGTGTGAGACATTTGGTGAGTTGCCCATTGCACAAACAAAACGACAACACGCCCTTGTGGCTCCCGGTCCTGCCTCAGGGACGGTGCTTTCTGGGAACAATCTCTGGAAGAGGTCCCTGGCACGAGATCGGCACCCGCATCCCTGAAGCTTTCTTGCGACGAATAGGGTCTATTCGGGGCTGATCCTGTTTTTTGAGGGGGGGAGGACCATTCCCAGCGGGTCCGGGGTCCCTGACAACCCATACAAGCAGAGGGTTCAATGCCCTCAACTCACGTTGAAGCCCTCAACTCAGCCAGCGCCCATTGGGCCAGGTGGCACCAAACGTGGTCCATAGGTCAATCAGTAATTACCCCGAAAAGGCAGCAACGGGGGCGGTCCTGGGCAACAAATCCTGTTCATGGTCTTTTTGGGGTTGGTAAAATGGGAAACCACCATTTTTGGCAAGCCCCTAAGACACACCCTGTTGACGGGATCCCCGAACCACCCTGGACTTTCCATCAAAATCAGTCCTTCCTCAGCTTGCTTTCTTCTCAGGGTGGCGCGTTTAGACCGCTTAAAGCTGCCAGAAACCACCAGCGAGGATCCAACCGAAGCCTGGCAGCTGGTCCCGATGCTGCAAGATGGTTTCCAGTACTCCCGAGCCACTACCCCGGGCAGATACCCTTGATGGCATATACCCTTACGGTTGGTCCAAACCGCGACGGTGTTGTTTTCGGGAGAAGCCTTTTTTCTGTGGAAAGGCTACAAATTCTTATAGGTTCCTTCGAGGGAGTCTTTTTTACACATGTGGTTGTTGCAGGTATATGTTTTGTTTTCAGCTGCACGGTTCCGAGTTGTCACCCGTTGTTCCCACTTTGGGGTGGTTTTTCATCGATGCTCGACGCACCGCCGCGTTTTTTTTTTGGTCCACCGCCGGAGAAAGCCATCCGACGCCTACACTCCGAATCCGCCCGCGGGTCGCTTCCGCGTTAACCCGCGATGCCAAAAAGCCATCGGCCCGGGCGTGCGGGTCCCGGGCCGGGCGACAAAAAGATCCTCAGGCCTTGTAGTTGGGCTCGCTGTTCTCCACCTGTCATGGGGGCGAACTCATTTCGATGTTCTTTTTTTTACATGTAAGCCATAGCCAGGTATATCACGTCAAAGGTCTGTATAATATTGCAAATTATCAAAGGAAGTTTAAAGGAACTTCCGTGGTACGGAAACTAATTGAAGGGTAGCTGTTGAATAGAAAGATATTGTCTGAGCGCGCGAAAAGATAGAGAATGCGCAAAAGCGTGGCAGGGTGCAGGAAATCGCTGCTGCGGATGTGCGAAAGGTACCTCTGCCGCGACGCCTGTGCGGGACGGGCTCGGAACGGTCTCGGACGGGGACTATTGGCACGGCCGTGCGGAGGTTTCGCAAGGTTAGAATTTCGTGGCAGGTGCAGCACTTTGGCGAGCCGAGGTATAGATTTCGTGGCAGGCGCAGCACTTTCGCAAGGCCAAATAAAGATTTCGTGGCAGCCGCGGCATTTCCGCAGCGCTGGCACGGACGCATCGCAAATCCCATTGGCACGGGCGCGCAAGGTGGCGCATGCAGATTTCCTGGCAGGCGCAGCACTTTCGCAAGGTCAGGTACAGATTTCGTAGCAGGCGCAGCACTTTCGCAAGGTCAAGTATTGCCCGCCAAACCTTCAAAACATAGAGAATGCGCAAAAGCGTGGCAAGGTGAAGGAAATCGCTGCTGTAGATGTGCGAAAGGTACCAATGCTAGCTAACTCTAGCAGCTCGGCTCGAAAATCGCAACTTTCAAGTACGAAAGTAGTACGCGAAGTGTACTCTGGCAGCTCGGGCTTGAAAGTCGCAATTTTTGACCAAAATCGCAATTTTTGAGTACGAAAGTAGTACGCGAAGTGTACTCTGGCAGCTCCGGCTGGAAATCGCAACTTTGCAGTACGAAAGGAGTACGCGAAGTGTGCTCTGGCAGCTCGGGCTCGAAAATAGCAACTTTTCAGTACGAAAGTAGTACGCGAAGTGTACTCTGGCAGCTCCGGCTGGAAAATCGCAACTTTTAAGTACGAAAGTAGTACGCGAAATGCACTCTGGCAGCTCGGGCTTGAAAATCGCAATTTTTGAGTACGAAAGTAGTGCGCGAAGTGTACTCTGGTAGCTCGGGCTCAAAAATCGCAATTTAAGTACGAAAGCAGTACGCGAAGTGTACTCTGGCAGCTCCGGCTGGAAAATCGCAATTTTTGAGTACGAAAGTGCACGCGAAGTGTACTCTGGCAGCTGGGGTCAAAAATCGCAACTTTTAAGTGCGAAAGTAGTGCGCGAAGTGTACTCTGGCAGCTCCGGCTGGAAAATCGCAACTTTTAAGTACGATAGTAGTACGCGAAGTGTACTCTGGCAGCTCCGGCTGGAAAATCGCAATTTTTGACTACTAAAGTAGCACGCGAAGTGTACTCTGGCAGCTCGGGCTCAAAAATCGCAACTTTGAAGCGCGAAAGTAGTGCGCGAAGTGTACTCTGCTCCGGCTCGAAAATCGCAACTTTTACGTACGAAAGTAGGTTTCGCAAGCATCGAATGTTTGGATGCGCGAAAAGACAGAGAATGCACAAAAGCGAGCATCAGATGCGAGAAGCTGCCTTCTTTCCGAGCGCGTGCCATTTCAGGCCGCGAGGCGCTGCAGCATTTGCTTGAAAAGAAGTGCGGCTGGGAGGTTGCGGGGCCGAATGTTTTGGACATGGCATGTTCAAGGAGCAAGGCACCCCTGCTGAAACCAGCAACAATGCAAATGCTATAAGTCCCATTTGTTTCAGAAACTTCCGCCTCCCGGCTTTGCCGGCTATACTGGTACTTAATGGTACTTATATGGTACGTACATAGCCCAAAGGCTCATGGATTGCCCAGGAAATGGGGGCCCCCAACCCCCGGGGTGCACAGAGCCGTTTCGTAGTGTGCCAGGGCCCATTTGGGTGTGTTTTTTGAGGAAACCGCGATTCTTCTTCTGTTTTTTTTTGGGGGGGGGCTCCCGATTCCTAGTTTGAGACAAACCCAAAACAAACCCGCACAAGTTGTCTACTTGCCAAGTGCTTCCATAGGGCGACTGACTCCCTTTTGTAGGCCTTCATTCCGCAGTCTGTTGGTTCTCCATGTTTTCCATTGCTCGTTTGTTTGATTCATCGCATAATATGTGATATATTCTGTCTTAACTCAAAGTCTAGGGATATGGCTGGCAAGCGCCAAGAAACAAAGATCCTGCAGCTACACATGGTTTGCAGTTGCGCATCACGAGCCCCAGCGCGTCTAGTTTCAGCAGGTAAAGGCTCCTGACAGGAGAAAACAACTCCTCATGCGATGAAAGATGGCCACCAGTCCTGTTGTCCACTACGCAAACTGGGGTCCGGCATACTTGGGGCTTGGAGAGTTGCCCAAACCCGTTTCAAAGCAATGCCCAGGTGAAACCCAGCAAAACGAGTGGCCCCAAGGCCCCCTGCCCGAACTCCTGCCTCCTTTCCGCGGAAGCCCCCGATCTTGGGCGGCGGGGACAGGGACGCCGGCTTGTTGTACTTCCTCGGAGCATGGAGCCGATCGTTGCCAAGTGGTTAACTATGCCCCATGGAACAAGGGCGGATTGGTGGGCTATGGGTGGACGAAATTCATTTCGCACCACTTTGAAGCCATGAGTAACCATTGTTTGTTGGTATTTACAGGGGAATCATCCTTCCAGGGTTCCTTAGGTAGTGCAGGATTTTGTCCATCCAAAGTATCACCTTTGGGGCTTATCCTTGCCTTGCCAAATTGCCAGGCATAGCTCCGCTTTTGGCTCGTTTGCCCTTGTGGGTTTCCCTCTGGACCATCAAGTTGTCAATTGAAAGAAATTGAGTCGCCAGGTTTGGTCAGCATTTCCAGTCGGTTCATGAGGCTCGGATCTCGCAAAGGGTACATGAACGAGTTGCCATGGTCATTGAGCAACACCCTCCTGCAAGCAAGCAAGTCCCCTTGAAAACATTAGAGGAATCTCGCCCAAGCGCAAAATGTACTCAGCCCCTCACTCCACCCCAACCTCAAAAAGCTGGGTTCATCAAACAACTCCCAAGATGTTGATCATGGAGGAACCCTTGTCTCCCTGCAGGTATATGACCATCCGTACCAGCAAGTAAAGAGTGCTTTGGCTTCTGGTCCCACAACCAGGGCTAAGTATGCCCCCACCCATTTAGGTCTGTGTGCTTTAAACAAATACAGTTGCTTTGAAGGGAAAGCAAAAAGGTAAGCCCGAGTTTTTGTCCAAATCAGGAACCCCGGAAAATCCCAAGAAGCAAACATAAATACAAAAAAACACATACTCCCCCCCCAAAACAAAAAAAACAAAAAAACAAAGCAAGAAACACAGCACAAAGAGAGGAACAAAAAAAGCAAGCAAAGAGACGTGCACGCATTTTTTTGGGTGGGTAGGGGGGGGGGGGGTGGGGGGGTGCGAAAGGCAAAACAACCCTCCAAGAAACCAACTACAGGAAGTTCAGCAGGAAGCCCCTGATTCGGGTGGGGACTTTGGCTATAGTTTCCTGTAGACTTTCCTGGTTTCTGGTTTCTCTACGAAACTTAACCACCGCCCAAATCCCGCGCTTCCGCGCCAAACCCGCGCGCGAATGTCGGATCGAAAACGGCGATCGGAGCGTCTGGGCCGAGTTCTTCAGCAGCGCGCCGTAGTAGACGATGGCGAAGCCGCAGGTGGCCCAGGCCAACGGCTCGATGCCGTAGAAGACGTCGAAGTACTCCTCGATGGGACGCGCATGCGAAGCGATGGGATGGGATGGGACGTTTATTCCCTTCCCCCCCCCGGCTTTCTATGGGGGTCCATTTACCTGCTTCTGTGGGTTTGTGGGGGGTTGTGTGGGTTTTTATGGGTTCTTGTGGGTTAATTTATGGGTTTCTATGGGTTTCTATGGGTTCTTATGGGTTTCTATAGGTTTCGAGGGGTTTCTATGGTACGTTGGTCAGCTTCCCAGTGGGTGGTGGTCTTTTGGGAGGGTTGCCCATTTACCCTCTAAAAGAACCAGATCCAACCCCGTCTATGTCTCAAAATGGGCATGGGTCAGTTCCATTTACCAAGGCACCAATGTTTGAACCACAGCCA